AGGGAGGGGAAACAAGCTGCAAAATAAGAGAAAAGAAGTTTTCTCAAGTGCTTATAGAGTGGGAGGTCTTCTGCTTAAAAAAATAAAAATAAAAATAGTGCTACTTATTTTGCAGAAAATATGAAAGAAAGATTATATAAATTTGCTCTTTCACTTAAATGAAAATAATAGAATTTCAAAGTTGAGAGTAATGGATTGGTGAAAACATTGTGAAGGATAATGATGATGATTAAGAGACATTGTTTGGGTGATGATAAATAATTATGATTAGGTGATAACAATAGGACACTGACAATTGAGTAACAACGAAAGAGTGAATTTATTGGCATTGAATGTCGAGTTGAGCTGTAATGCACTTCAAATCTTCAAGAACTCTTCAATTCAAATTTATGTCTAAGAAAATTTTTCATGTTAAGTATAAAATCTATTTATAATTTTTAGGAATTTCATTTTGATAATTGTAGCCAAAATCACAAAACATTTCATCAGATAGTTTTTGTGTTGATTTCTTTAATCATAACATAAAATTAGTGTCTCAATGAAACAAGGGGACACAATATAATTATATGTGCCTCCCCTTAGGATTGTGAACTATGTAAATTCTCCACAATTATAATTTCATCATTCATGGAAGTTGTCACATCAATTAGATTGAGAATTATTAAAAACTTTTTTCTCCAAACTGCTCAAGTTTGCTCAAAATTAGTCGTTGAGGCTCCATTTAGCTTTAAGAGTAACAAAAGTAAGTCCAAAAAAGAAACGTTTAATATAAAATTTTGAATTACAAAAGGTAGAAGTTAATCTTCCAAGTCAACCTTTTACAATGATGATAAAAGATTACTGTAGTTAAATATATTATTAATGTAGATCATTGTTAGCTTCTCCTATATGAGCAATTATACTTAATATATTATATCTCACGGGTTATTATTTTGCAGAGCTTTATGTCAAATTGTTGGGAGATATCGCCTTGATATGAAAACCAAAAAAAAAAAAAAAATTGAGGTGAAGTTATGGTGATCATTCAATAGTGTCAAATGCATGCAAGTGTGTGGAGGGCCAGAAGATGAGATTTTCCAATGCTTGCCTAACCTCTTGCTCCTTTGTAGCATGTATGCATCACAAGCATGAACGATGTGGATTGTCAAGCTGGATGTGTGTGATGGTAAGTCTTGTCTTATTGAACGTCGTTTTAATATATTCGATGTTATTGATAATTAACCGCTAAGTGCATATTTTAGGGCATTTTTTTTTGTCTCGAATGTTAGTCCATCATATAATTTATGTGAAATGACGGCCTCAGTGATGCCTTGCTTATTGTTATATTGTTGGAGCATAAACAATATTAGTAGCATCAAATTCTTTAGTGGAATTGATGAGCTGAACGAACTCATTATTCACAGCCATAACATCCAAAGTTTCCTGGTTCAAATGGCATGATATTGAACCTGTTGATGACTAGGTATGTTAAGGTTGTGATCATTTATTTCCTGGGTTATATATTTCAAATTAATTACTAAAATATTGGTACTTCAAATTATTGTATTTTCTATTTTAAAAATCTATATTTAAAGTAAAAGAATAAATATATATTTAATTAATATATTCCATAATATTTAATTTTAAAACTTTTATTTATATAAATATTTATTTTTTTAAATTTAAATAGGAAAACTAATGATAAATCGATCCAATTGTGAAACTGAAACTAAAGCTTCCCCGTTACTATCGAAATTAAGTTCCCAGAAAATATATCATACTCAATTTATTAATATATATATTATTGATATTTCATCGAAAAATTATCTTGATTGGGCACGAATCTCGAGGCAAAATCAGTTCGGAAACTTCAAAAATTAAATTC